GGCGTCGGAGCAGGAGGCAACGCGGCCGGTGGTGGTGGTGGACTCGCAGGAGGCCGGCGTGAGGCTCGTCCACATGCTGATGGCGTGCGCGGAGGCCGTACAGCAGGGGAACGCGAAGCTGGCCGATGCCCTGGTCAAGAACATCGGCGTGTTGGCCGTATCTCAGGTGGGGGCCATGAGGAAGGTGGCCACATACTTCGCCGAGGCCCTGGCCCGAAGGATCTACCGGATTCGCCCGCCGGAATCCCTCGGCCCCTCGTACAGCGACATTTTGCAGACCCATTTTTACGAGACGGGGCCTTATCTCAAATTCGCGCACTTCACGGCCAACCAGGCGATTCTCGAGGCGTTCGCCGGAGCTGATAGGGTCCACGTGGTCGATTTCAGCCTGAAACAGGGGATGCAGTGGCCAGCCTTGATTCAGGCTTTGGCCGTGCGGCCCGGCGGCCCGCCAGTTTTTAAGCTGACGGGGATAGGGCCGTCCCAGCCCGATAACGGTGAGGCCTTGGAGCATGTGGGTCTGAAATTGGGACAGCTGGCGGAGACTATAGGGGTCAAGTTCGAATTTCGTGGCGTAGTGGCTAATTTCTTGGCCGATCTGGATCCGAGCTTGTTTGGTGGCGGGCCCGGAGAGGGCGAGTCGCTGGCCGTGAACTCTGTTTTCGAGCTTCACGGGCTTTTATCCAGGCCCGGTGAGATTGACAAGGTTCTGGGTTTAATCCGAGCGATGAAGCCGGTAATCGTGACGGTGGCCGAGCAGGAGGCGAACCACAACGGTGGCAGTTTTATGGAGAGGTTCGACGAGGCCCTCCATTACTACTCCACCATGTTCGACTCGCTCGAGGGATTCGGGCCGACGCGGCCCGAAACCCAGGACCTGGCGATGACGGAGGTGTACCTCGCGCGGCAGATATGCAACGTGGTGGCGTGCGAGGGGGAGGAGCGGGTCGAGCGGCACGAGCGTCTGGAACGGTGGCGGCGGCGGTTGGGGGCCGCGGGGTTCGAGCCGGTCCACCTGGGCTCGGATGCTTTCAGGCAGGCTGGCTTGCTGCTGGAGCTCTTCGCCGGCGGGGACGGGTACAGCGTGGAGGAGAACGGCGGGTGTTTGATGCTGAGCTGGCACACGCGGCCCCTCATCGCCACCTCGGCGTGGCGGCTGGCGGCAGGGGGAGCTGGGGGCTAGTCGACGCAGGGCTTGTGCGCAGTGAGTTGTGGGTTGACTCGGAACGAGTTGACGCTGACCGCACAGAGGAAGATGAGTCAAATCATGTGGTTCTATTTTTACCTTTTCAGTTTTCACTTCTCTAGAAAAAGTCAGCTTTTATTTAAAAAACAAAAAAATCCAAAAATAGGTTGTTTTTCTTTTTTGAAGAAATTTTCATCAAATTCTTAGATTTTGATTTAGGTTAAATGTATTTTGCTGTATCATCCTTTTTTTTACCCCCTCTTTGTGTATTCAATGACTTGGTACCAATGTGAAAAAATGAAATAAATTTGTCAATAGAAATTCAATTACCTCTTACTTTATTGGTGATTGTTATTTCTTAGAGGTGAAAGAGCCGAGTCTTGTTCAAGCTCGAGCCCTTGTCGAACTGAGTCTGTTAATTTAGAAGAATTATGCTCAAAGTTCAAGAAATTACATAAAAAATCTTGTTTTATTAAGTATAGCAAACTCGAGCTTGACTCGTTAATTGAGTTTACCAACGATTTGTTTCGTTTAATTATTATATCGGGCCTTTTCTCTATTAACTTTTTCACACATGAACTATACAATTAATGGTTAATTAAATTGAACCCCCTTATAATGTAGGGGAAGCGTGAACGGATGGGAAAAATACGAGATACTCTCTCGAACTTAGGATACTCTCCCAAAAAACACGAACAATTTAATTCATTCTCAAATTCAACTGAATAAAACAATAGATGGGGGAGCCCTTTAAATAAGACTCCTAAACATTATTCCTAACTTGTCCAACAAGACAAGATCTCTAATATTTAATTCCTAACTTATTCTCCAATATAATAATAATAATAATAATAATAATAATAAGGGCTATGGATTCCTTCCAGCTAAGGGCTATGGATTCCTTCCAGCTAAGGTCAAATAAGATCTCTAATATTTAATTCCTAGCTGGGCGGTTGATGTCGCCCAGCGCAAACGTGCGAAATATGACGCCTTGTGTGCAACTAAGGGCTATGGATTCCTTCCATTCTCTTTCTCTTCTTTGGGGGAGTTGTACACGGAGGCCATTGCCCTACTCAAGAGGATTCAGAAGTATTCGGTATCTCAGGATGCAGGGGCACGTGCCGCTCCTCATATTTTCACTCGTATTAGCTTTTCCATTGCAAAAGGAGTGGGGGCCCAGATAGTATCTCGGCTCCCCTCCAATTTCTTGTAATCATTTTGATTCCATAATAATAATAATAATAATAATAATAATAATAATAATAATAATAATATTCTACACCACCTTATTACTCAACAAACTCCGTCCTATGGAAGAGGACTCTCATTTCAAAGTGGAGCTAATCAAATTGAGAACTTAATAACGTGTAGTTTTTTTTATGCCATTTCCATTTTTATGTAGCCGGTGATATGAAATGGGCCTTTTTAGGTCAGCATTCCAATTAAATGTGGGTCGTTTTCAACATTTTTCGTCCACATATAATAGTGATTCGTATTACCCCAAAAGTGAGTTTTCGTAGCCAACAGGCAATTAGGGCATATTCTATACACTAATGCTCGCCTACCCACAGTGTGTACACGTTAATATGCTCATCGTTTATGTGGCATGCACACATTAGTGATGTTAATATGTTCAAAAAAATATATCACTAATGTGTACATGTCACATAAACAGCGAACATATAACACTACCCACGATGTGTACACGTTAATATGCTCATCGTTTATGTGGCATGCACACATTAGTAATGTTAATATGTTCAAAAAAATATATCACTAATGTGTACATGTCACATAAACAGCGAACATATAACATATGTTCACCGTCAGTAAAGGAGCATTACTAATATTAAATATTCAATGAGAGCTTTCACTATTGTTACATCATACAAACTCTATATAATAGGGGATCTTTCATTCTAATGAAAGATGAAAGTTTGACTTGAGCTAAGTTAATCGGGCCCACACTTTAAACAATGGGGGAAAAAGTTTTTTTTTTTTTTTTTTAATAAATGAAATTCGACTTATAATGAGATTAATTTACACTTTACATTAGAGGTAGGCATTTAATAAAGCCCCACATGTTCCAACTCATGTTCATGTTTTCCTCGGTCTCAGCTTAATTATTTCATTTGTGAGTCCTCCAATCTCACTCTTGAGATAAAACTTGGTACTTATTTAAGAATGCTCGAGGTTGGCAAATAAATGGACATTAAAATTTCATATTCAAATCAATTGAATAATTTTTTATTTAGTGCCAATTCAAGTAGCGCGTAGGTCGGAGCACCTAGTGAGCTCGGATAATCTATGAGACCTCATGGCTCTTAGGTCGTGGGGTGGAGGTTATCGTTCCGACCTAGGTACAACTTACGGAAGCAAGGTGTGTGTGCGCGTGTTGTTTTTTATCAACCATCATCATATTAAATTCAATCATATTAAAAAAAAAAAATGCAATCATATTAAATTCAAAGCGTTGTTTTTTTTATAAGCCATTATCATATTGGCGGAAAAAAAGTATGATGAACCGAACTGTTTAACGATTATGCCGCCTCATACAAAAATAAGTATTTGTGGATGAACGGCCATTAATTTTTTTTTTTTCTTTTATCCCTCTTGAATACAACTACCCACTTAAGTATGCATTGAATCCGAGCAAATCCAAAAGCATCACGAAAGTTCTTGGAAGCCCAGCAGCAGAAAGAGATTGAGAAGGCCATTATTAAATTATTGGAAGCCCAAGAAAGCAGCTTGTGCTGCATGGCTATAATTGGATTTAAGTGCAATGAACCTTAATTTAACAATTAAACCCATGTGCATATTGTTCAACTTTGTATAAAATTATTGTTAATTTTCTCAAAAGAGCTACTTTTAACCTATATTAAATTTTCCCCAACAAAAATATTTTATAGCCCCAAAGACTTTTGATACCTTCACTGTGAAAGTGACATTTTTTATTTATTTATTTATTTATTTATTTTTTGTGGGCAAAATAACATAAATATTATCACCAATGATATTAAAAAATTGGTTCTCCAACTTTACACCATAGCCCTTTCTCATTTATGAATTATATGAACACATTGAGTTTGAATTTGCAATAATGCTAAAGAGTCAATTGTTGGCTCCGTTACGGAGCCAACAACCAATAAGACATGTTCATGTGAGATTGTCCCACATGGCTCCAATGTGAGACAACCCCACATGGAGCTGTCTCATTAGTTGTTGGCTCCGTAACGGAGCCAACAGTTTGCTCCTTAGCATTACTGATTGAATTTGATACACTTGTGCAAGTTCTTAACTGCTTGCATAGGGTAGTGAATGGTGATCATGGTAGACATTTGATTTTATTATTTTTTTTTATTTAAAAAAAAAATTATGTTGAAACGATAGAAAACATCTGAAGAAATTAAAGTAATTTCATACATTTAAAATAACAAGAGCATGACAAGTGGAACTTTGAAATCTTACGTCTGACCGACTATAAGTTATTTTAGATTTGATAAGATTTATCAAATAAAATGAGATAATTTACGAAAAAAATGATTGAGTCTTGTTTGAGTGAAATTTTAAGTTTATATTTGAAATAATATTTAAAAATGATTAAAATTAAATTGATGTGTAAAGTAATTAAAAAAATACGGATGGATGAATAACAAAAGAAAATTGGTGTGGTGTGTAAAGATAATCGATCAGTATTATATAATTATGTTAATAATAATATTAAAGAAAGTAAAATTGTGCTAAATTTGAATTAAATTTTGAGCTGAAAAAAATTCTGGATATTTATCGTGCCAAGAAACTTGAGAAATTCAACCCCTAAAGAGCTCCTTTAACTGCAGCTTTTCACAGATATGTGCTCATAGCATAATCCTTATGTCATTCACAGATATGTAATTTCATAGCAGAATCAACACACATTTTGTGTAAGCAAATAAACGGCCCTCTCAGGCCTGAGATTTTTCCAAGATTCGATTCGTCTTAACGATCAAAGACGGTAGCTTTACTAAAATGCGTCCTGTTAAATCATAAAACTGATAATGACACTGGACAATCTTTTATTCAACGACAAAAGCGCACCACAAGAAGTCAATCAACTCATTGGCTAACAAATCTTCATAGATTTTATGCACTAATATATATATAT